CCCACTCCACATCAACCCTACCTACGGTGCTGTGTGTGGTGTGTGTGTGTGTGTGTGTGTGGTGTTTGTGTGTGTGTGTGGCTGTGGTGTGTGTGTGTGTGCCGTGTGTGTGGTGTGCTGGTGTGTGTGTATTTTAAGCGTCTCCTACTTATACTATTTTTAGCGGCATGGATGATTATTAGCTCTCAGATTTTAGATAGAAAAACATGGTCTATGAAGTGTTTGCTCAAAATACAAAACGATCACATTTAGCCTCAAACCCTCTTTTCAGCTGTTTAATGAATGGTGTTTACCACAAGGTTGACTTCCTTTTTCCTGCTGCTTCACACGACTCTCTCCAGTACAGGGTAGCCTCTGAGTGTTAGCATGCCTTAATGTTAAACACAAGACCCGTATTACTTTCCAGAACACGTCTCATTGTTTCTGCACAGCAACGTTCTGATTGCGCCCGTGGGGTAAAAAGCCCGACCCCACATGTTTGTTTTAGACGGAGGAGAGAGAGGGGTTCCATTTCCTTGACATTGGTGAGCTCCTGACACACCGGGGACACACCGGGGACACACGCGCCGGCACACATGGTGATGTTAGAGCAAGACATCACAAAGTGGCATTTTTGCGTAATAGGAGAGCTTTAATGACTGCTGAGTGTAACGTGTCTGTCTCTCAGCGTCTGAAGGTGGGACGGCCGTGCTATCGGCCCGCTTGTGCCTCGCCGGCAAAGCTACCGGGCCCGATTTAGTGCGCAGGCACTGAGTGACATCACAGCTCGCCCCCCTGGGAAGGCCTGACGAGCAGGGAGTCCTGCGACGCCGGGCGGCCGCCCTCAAACAATATGTCCGCCGCAATCAGCCCAGAGCCTGATCCCGCAGGGCCGAGAGCACTCCAGCTGGATCCAGGCTGCAGGTAGAACCATACCTCTAGAACCAATACCTCAAGAACCAGTAACATCTAGAAACCAGTACCGCTAGACCAGTACATTCTAGAACCAGTAACTCTAGAACCAGTGTCACGGTGCTGTGAAACAGGCAGGACCCAAATGCAGATTTAAACTGAAAATTCCTTTATTTCAAGGCTATTGATATAGTATATATAGATATAGATATGTATAATATAGCTATTTTTTTTTTTTTTTTTATAGCTATCGGTAATAATAGGATATGATATAGGATATATATATATATATATATATACACAGAATGACAAAACAGAACACTCACGCAGATCTAGCTTTCTGGCAAAAGACGAACCGACAAAGACAGACAGAAAAAACAGAACTTAAATACACACAAGACTAATCACACAAACAAGACACAGGTGAGGAGGGAGGAGAAAACACAGGGGCCACAGGTGAACACAATCGGGTAATCAGGGAGGGAAAACAGACAGAAAGCAACAGGCAAGACAGGAGGTGAACACTTTACAAAATAAAACAGGAAACCAAAGATAGAAAAAGACAAGACAAAACACAACACAGACAGATCGTGACAGTAAAGCAGCGTTGAGTTATTATTCTCCAAATATCTGGAACAAACTCCCAGAAACCTGCAGGTCCGCTGCAACTCTGACTACTTTTAAATCCAGACTAAAGACTTTTCTTTTTGCCGCTGCTTTTAATTGTAACTTTTATCCATGTATTTTTTCTTTTAATGTCTCTTTTATTATATTTTCTTTTTAATGACTGATTTTAAATGCCATTTTCTTAATGTCTTTCATTTTTTGTAAAGCACTTTGAATTGCCTTGTGTTGAAAGGTGCTGTATAAATAAACTTGCCTTGGCTTACTTTCTATCTGTCTGGCAACACTCAACTTCCTTCATTGAGATTGTCTATGCTTTGGTGTTTCTCGAAAGGAGTTTTTTGTTATCCAAATCTCATGACAAGGGTAGGTAAGGGTCAAATACCAATTATTGTATCCGAGCAGTTGGGACACACAACATATCTTGACAGAATGGCGACACAGACTCGGCATCTGTACTTTATGTCATGGTTCACTGAGGCTTAGGTTGTAAAACTGGAAGCATAAACACAACATGTCCCACAGTTACAATAACATATGTGAAATAGGGTCGCCGGATAGCTCACTTAGTACAGCTGGCAGCCCATTTAAGTGTGTCATCCTTCTCTTTTTATTTTTATCTGTTTAATATAGCCACTGGTCGCCAAAAAATTATCCAAAGAAAATATGTTCAATAAAACGGTTATCTTTATCAAAGGTTTTCCAAATAAAATAAGTAACAGTAAGCTTATGTAACATATAATTGCAATAATAAAATGTAAACATAAAAAGCAACATAAGAAAGAAGCCTATGCTAATTGTTTAGCTTTAGCAGCTAGTTAGCAATCGGCAAATAAAATAACATAACCACAATACACAAATAAGTTAATATACTTACAGACAAGTGTACTCCAAGAACCAAAGCAAAAATCTCATCAAAACAAAATCACGTGGAGGATATATATAATTGCAGAGAAACTTAAAGGGTGCAACACCTCAACTTGCTGTCAATTGTCACCAATTACTCTGTGACCAGCTCTGTTTGATTTAGGATTTGTGATATTGGGTTATATTGACATCACCTGACTCATCCTTTAAGACTCTGCTTTGAATTTGAACATTTATGAAAATAAAAACAGATGTATCAGCATTGAGGTAGGTTCAAAGTACAACAAAGTCTAACCTAAAGTTCACACTGTGATCAACTTCTGCTGCTGTCCTTGGTGCTGATCCTCTCGGAACATGATAAGAGTTTTAGTGCTTTAGTTGAAGCTATAGTAGGAAACCACATTAACTGTCCCTGCAGCTATTTGCTTTTCATTCAAACCCTCTTCTCTTTCGATTACTGTACTTTTTTCCCTGGAGGTCAATGCTTTGGACATAATGTGATTGGAAACCGACTTTAAGTATACTTCTTTTTTGCCAATTTTCTTTAGATTATTGTACTTTTCCCCCCAAAGGTCAATGCTATGATGATAATGTTTGCCGCATAGCCATTCCAACTTTTATTAATCCAGGGAAGGTTTGCTGAGTGCCCTTTTTTTCCCAGTAAACACTTATAATGATACAGCGAGCATACAATCATACCTTAGAGCATCTTGGGCCAACCAGTGTTTCACTGTGCATCAATTAGTTAGTCAACCAAAACATTTGTGCCTTCCCCAGCGGCACCATGGCGACAGCTGTTTAAGGGTAATGTTGACTCATTAACATTCTCCACCCAAATTATCCACCCAGCCTGACAACCTGAAGCAGCAATGCCCCGATAACGAGCCTTCCGGGTAACAGATAACTGCAGATGCAATTACTGCTTCTTTTTCGTTTTCCGTATGAATTTTTCTTCCATCGAATCGCCCCATGTTAACAGTTTGTAATTTAGAATGTGAACATAGCTACATACAGTATGTACCCATGTAAGAAAAGTAGGCTCACTCTTATACCAAATGGAAAGCCGCAGGAAGTGCTGTACTGTAATTGTGCTTTCTATTGTAGTAGGAAAATATATTTCTGATGCATATAACGGGGTGCAATTTGTCGTGCAGAGTATTGCTCAAGGACATAGCATGGGGCAGTACCTGTTCTGCTTCCAATTTATCTTTAGGGTCCACATCCTGTAGAGAAAAGTATAGGAAATTATAGTCTTATTTCTGAGGAATTGTCCGTACGACAAGGACTAGAATACATTACAATGTACAAGCAAAATTACCTTGACCTTTCTAGTATAAGGGTTTTTAAATTACTTGGAGGCAGGCACTTCTGATTGATAAAGTTTCAATTGATTGGTCCCTTTATACTTGTAAAAAAAGCTGTATAACGTTTTTTTATATTATTCTGTAATTTGTTTTCTTTTTGCATAGCCACGGGTTTTTGTCTGCAATGTTGTTGAATAGGGTCAGGGTTTTAAATAAATCCATGAGTCTCTACAGGTAAAATACAGATTAAATAAAAAACAGACCACTTAAACTACAATTCATGGTCTACCTGTTGCCTCCGCCTTCTCAACCAGGAGGCTGTCTTAATCAAATTGGTTGTGGTAATTTAGCTTTTACCAAACTATCCTATTTTAGAGATCCTAAATTAGGATGGCAGAGTATTTTCTTAACTCAAAATTGCAAAAACAAAATGCCAGCAGTAATGTTGATGGGCCTAAATGCAAAATAAAAAGAAGGGGAAAGGTTCAACACCTAAAGGCCGCTACACACCAACCTGAGGGCCGACTTTTACGTCCGCTATGTCGCCTGGGCCTGCATCGGCTACGCCGCCCACCTAGGCCGCCCGCCTACGCCGCCCGCCTACGAACACACCGCAAAGACTTCAGTCGACGAGTGGCAATAACTGTCCTTACCAGCAGGCAGCGGTAGTGTGTATTCGTCATTCAAAAGAGGCAACAGCCAATCAGAGCGATTTCTTTGCGGGAGGTGTGAAAATGTGCCGTAAAGCAACGACGGTGTGGGACACACCAACCTGAGTAGGGCGCCGCGAATGCCCGACTGCCTCTGATGGCCTCTGACTTCCAAAATCGGGTAGGTGTGTCAGTCAGGGCCTTAAAAAGCAGCTGCTCGAACCATATGATGATGCTTTACATTTCCAGGAACATGTATTAATGGGTATATTTTAAATATGGATTTCCACCGCAGGTTTATATTTGCATAACATTTGCGCGACTTGTCCACATGCAACTGTCACAGGGGTTGTGCTGCAGTGCAGAGACATTGCGGAGTCATTAACAGCTATAACTTTCGAGCGGTGGAGGTATGCCCATTATTTTAAATGTGTCATAAGAAAGGACAGGAATGTGACGGTAAGGTGCAAACTGTGTCCAGGCCAGAAGCTTTTATCCACTGCTGCAAACACAACATCAAACCTCAACAAGCACCTGCAAAGGCAACATGCTAACACGAAGCTAGTAGCTAAAGACCCCCGAACCCACAGTGATGATGTTGAGTGTGTGCCGACTATTAACTTGTGTTATGTCTTACTTATTGCAATAGTAATTGTTATGTGTGCACATGTAGGCCTACGTTTTAAGTTTTAGCTATAGGCTGTTGCCGAGTAACTCAAAAGTAATGTAAAAAGTAATGTAACAATTCTTTTTTTTTTTAAAGTAATGAGTAATGTGCAATATATTCCTTTTTTTGAGTAACGACCCCATTACTGGGCACGATGGATCTCTGAACATGAGTCTTATAAAAGGTTTTGTTTGACATTGTTACTGGTGCTATTTATTCTACATGTGGCTCACCAGTGTTTCCAAAGTTTGATCACTGTGAGACAGTGAGCAGTGAATTTGGTTGGACTGCGAGTGGCGTTGGTGCATCATTAGTGAAGTTCTCCCCCGATGAACAAACAACAGTCTTTTGTCCTAAGGATTTGTGGCTCCGACAACAGTTCCCGAGGATTATAAAGACAGCATCAAAGAACCAAAACGTACAGACAAATGGACGACATTGTAATCCGCATGACTTTGATTATCCATAAAGAACGGGGGCCTGCTGTAGGGAAAAGCAACCAAGATCAAATCAAAGAAGAAGCCAGGCAAGAATCAGTTCCTGTTGGGAAAGTTTCTCCTAGGTTTCTATGGAAAAGACAGTACTCACTAATGTGTGATAATGCTCAGTACGGAATTGCTGATCTATAGTACATGTAAGTGGGTGGAGAATCATCTCACAAGGTAAGAAATAAAGCTTAGAATCCTCCATTTCATCTCTGGTTATTAGCTGTAAAGGCAACAGTTGCAACCTTGATTTGGAGTTTAAATAACTGTCACAGGTTTTTTTCAATTCAGTGTCTCATTTATTCTATTTAGATATGCAAATCGTGTCGGTAACAATGTGGCAATTGACCTTTCGCAAAGCCACGCACCCCTTGGTTACTGTTGCTAGTCCGACAAGCTGAGAGCCAGATGCGTTAAACAAAGCCATAATGGAGGGTCTCCGTAACGTCGGAGTCGCCTTAACAGACTCATTTTGGAGCAATAACGCAGCAATATCCTCCAGGTCCCGACAAAAGGGGCTACAATACGCTATGGAGGGTTATATCCACAGTATAAACATTAGAAAAGAGGGAGGCACAACATCAATAGAGGCACTTGCATACAGGTCGCAGTGCAAGAGTGAAAAACCACATGAGCTGTATGTCAAATTCGACGGAATTATTATTATTATTTTGGAATAAAACAATACAATCACAAGAGGCATTAAATCTTGTAGTTTGTCTAAAGTTAACTACCGTTTCCTTGGTGGCTTTCTGCATCCACCTTGTTGTTCCTTTGTGGGGGTCGGGGTGCCCACCTGTGCAGCAGGATTAGGGAAGTCGGCAGTAGGCTTTCCATTAGAGATAAGGGACGAGTAGAGTTGAGCGCGCACAAGTATGACGCGTAGAGTGTTTTGTTTGTTTGTTTGTGTGTGTCAGGTCTTCTCTTCCCTTCTTTGGGAACATGTACGGATCTTGTGGACCGGAAGTTGCAGACATAACTGGTAGAGACAGTTAAATAACTGTTGAGACTTGTAAAAAGGCTTTCTCTTTACGAAACATTACCCGTTTACCGTAAACGGATGTTCAGTCTCCTTTAACAAATAAGACTGTCAATAAGTTGACGGATGAGTAGTAGGACAAGGAGGCGTTTCCGTTCGCTGTCTCTATTGTTGGTATCTTCGTTGTGTAGCGTCTTTTGAACTTTAATATGACGTGGACCTCCTTACAGAACTAGTATCCTCTGTTTCCTCTCAGGGTGCGGGGAAGTGTCACCCCCCGCGGGCGATAGTGGAGCACTTCTATAGAGGGAAGTGCCTGCGGTGTCGAGACGAGTCGCCGAAAGGTGGCCGCAGCCCGCTGGTGAGACGCGAGCCTCTACCACTCCCCTGGCTTCACTCTATGTCTCCCAACCGTGGCTTACAGGAAGACCCTCAAGTCTCTGTTTGATTCGCGCGATGCGTCCCACAGGCCCGCCTCGTCCGACACTCGGCCCCGGCTTGCACCCCGCGCGCCGCCCACCGCCCGCATGGCGACGTTCGGCCTCGCGCGTGGCTTCTAGCTGGCGTCTCTGCGGTGTGGAGGGAGGCAGAAGTCAGTTGGACACGTATCAGTTGCCGTGGCCCCCCCCGCCGCCCGGCCCGCGCCTCCCGCTCCCTCAGGAAATTCGGGGCCGGGAAGTGTTGACGGTCTGTTTGTAGTCCCGCCTGCCGCCTCTCGCTCTGCGCGCGCCGTCAGCCAAAGGGCCCCGGCAGAGCCGTCGTGCCACGCCACCTGAAGTGCGGAGGGAGGGACCGTTCTTTCGTACCACCGAGTCACCACACGAGCTTTGACACTATTACTAAACACGCATCGTTTTGCGTTTCGCTTGAAATGACTATACCGACCCGACCCAGGTCCGAGTTCCCCCTCACCGCTCCGCGCGCTTCCCCGAAAGGGTCCTCGTACGACCCACCGGACGACGGACCATGAACCCACTATCAGCGCACATTTCCCATTCATCCCTAATTCTCGTCACTTAGGTCGAATCTTGTCCTTTCACCGAGTTCTGTCAAAACACCCCCCACCAATCAGTTAAAATCGTCCTAAGGTACATGGTGTCGACAGTGTTTTTAGCATGACTATCCATAGATGTTTGAATTTGATCGGAATCAATTTACAGTACAGGAACGTCTTTTGAAAAGTTGTTACTAAATAGTACTCGTGTTGCAAGCTAAAATACAAAATTGCCTGAACTAACTTGTTTATTCCTCACGTCGACAAGAATAGTTAGTGGCGACGGGTGAAAATGTCAAATACTCAGTGCCTTTCTTAGTATTGCTTGTCCTCCCCCACCTCACCACGTAACGCAAGTTACTAAGAGTAAGTAACGTCGCTTCTGTAGAATCCCTTGTAAACGAATGAAACTATACTACCGGGAAGTCGCTTACGCAGAGCAGCTTCGAGTCAGGATTTATGAGATAGTCGGTGGGTTATACACGTTCGAAAAGAACTGACTGATAATGACTTGACGACAGATACATCACCATAACTGAACTCTGCAATCAGTAAAAACCACTAAAATTTAGTAGCAAGTGGGGGTCCTGCTCCCGATTTCTTGGACACTGCTCGGCGTGTTCTTCCCCTGTGTAAGCCTGACATTAATAGCAGTTCTCCCCAGGACTTATATATGATGCTCCAACACCACTGACTACAACCGTAGAGACTAGTAAGGACACAAAATAACTCTGAGATAAAGACAAGTGTTTACAAGTTTTTCTCCATTGGTGTTTCGCTATAATCTGACTTTTATGATCCTTTACAAATGAGGTCTAAGAAGAGGTGTGAACGAGACGTGAAGAGTATTTACTATCATCCTCAGTAAAATTAAGTTTTAGTTTTACATGGGGAGGGGGAGCGGGGCGGCGCTCGTGGGTAGGGGGGCGCGAAAAGGGGGGGCTGCTGGTGGGAGAAGGGGAGAGCAGAAGGAAGGGAGGGAGGTAAGGGACGGAGGGCGAGAAGAGTGTCCGTGATCTCTGACTGAGAACCATTTCCAGCAGTTTACTGTAGGTGAATTGGTTGATCTACCTGCTTGCAGTCACAATTATATATCTAAGCTCACGACACCTCGCTAAACTGTCGACAACTCGGATGTTGATAACGGGCTCTGACTTCATCGAAACCTTTAGGATGATTTCCTTCTTTTTTGAGAAACAAAGTATCCTATTACAGTTAGATCACTGTTTATACTGTTCCGAGTAGAACCGAGAAGAGAAGAATTTAGATTTACGTGGCTGACGAGTCTATTACTTTTTGTTGTTTTTTCCCATGGTATCGATACGCTCTCTGTGTAAATTATGTTACAAGTGGTCCTCTGATTACGAGGTCTATTTTTGCTGCCCCTCGTACTATCTCACGTAACTTGTTTAAGTAACTGTCCTCACAGTTTGACAAGAGTACATACTCACCGGGTTCTGTCTATCTATTGTTGACTACCATCTCCACCAGCAAACCTCGGTTCCGTCTTAATATTATTCATCGCGCTTGAAGTCAGAGCGTTGACAAAGGTTGTGCGCTTATTTTTCCCCCTTAGATCCAATACGTCACCTGACCCCACGTGCCTGGACTTCCAAAGTCGTAACCCGCGACCTCTTCTGTCCATGACTAGTCGGCATGATGTGATTCGATATAGTTGGCCTAACTTGTGTGATTACAGGTCGTTAAACCTTTTTGAAAGGACCCGAACAATAGAAGTCACTCTGAACCGATACCCATTACAGCAGAAACCGGTCCAGTGATTTTTAGTTATTTTTCGACGTCGAACACGTCTTGCGACGACGTAGCTCAGGAGTGATTGTGATTCATTTCACCTAAGTGTAGTGGATGGACAAGAACTCAGAAATGCCCTTACCCGAAGGACATACAGTTCCTTATCTAAAGTGTTTCGACCGCCCCGACGTACCAAACTATTCGTGACTTACCAAATCCGTTTACTAAACTGGAGGACGATTTAATACTGTTGGTCTAGAGGAGTCCGAAGTCCTACAAGCGAAATACATTGGCGTTTCAGTCTAGTTGACCTTTCTTCGGTGTCCATCAATAATACTGCACAGTTTATGGCACCTGTTTGAGGTCGTTTTGGAGCCAGACGACGTTGAGCTGGAATGAAATACTTTAGGGTCTGATATTCTGAAAGAAGAAACGGGACAAAATTCAACATTGAAAATAGGTACGCAAAAAAGAAATTAGCAGAAGAAAATAATATCAATGAAAAGATTAGTCTCCAACCACTAAAAAAAAAAAAAAACAAAAAAAAAAAAAAATTACGGAAGAAAGAATACAGAAAGTTAACAAAACATTTCGGACAACTTAACGACACGCAATTCCAACGACATATCTTATTGAACCAAACCGAATGAAGAATAGACAGCCCGTTGTGAGTGAAGAAGTAACTCTAACAGATACGAAAACCACAAAGAGCTTTCGTCAAAAGACAATAGGTTTAGCAGGTACTGTTCCCATCCATTCCCAGTTTATGGTTATTAACATAGGCTCGAACCCTTGTGCTGTAGATAACTGTCTTACCTCTGGTCCTGAGCGTAGACCATGAAATTACAGTTACCAAGTGACTCCGACGCAACGCCGCCCCCCCCGCTCGTCTCCCTCTTCGTACGCAGGTAATTCCGCGAAAAAAAGTTGAAGCATACGACATCTCTCCGTCCCCGATCGCAGAATTTGAGATTTTGTTATTGCAGGATATAAAAAAATGTACTACATACAGGGATCTTCCTACCTTAACCTTGCCGTCTGTTATATGGTACGATATGAAATAACAGGGGCCGAATGTTGTCCTTTCGCAAAAAACTCTATTTTCGTACCATGTATCATACAGTGTCATTTCTGTATTTGACATTAATACTGTTTGGACTTTACTCGTATAATCAAGGAAAATTACAAAAAACCCCAAATAGAAGGAAAGGTTCCTTTGTATATGTGAATCGGTATACTACAACTTTAGTCTACGGTTTTTTCGGTTAACGTGATGCGGCGATTAGGACCTATCGTGAAAACGCGACAGGATTGAGTAGGTATATAAACCTTTACTGGGACATGTACCGTTTTATCCGCAAACGTTAGTAAGAAAAAACTAAACGAGACACTAATCGACAACACGACTAACGTGAACGAAAAACGGTCACAAATTGGAGGGAAAAGAGGTTACAACGAGGAAGGTACGGTACAGTACGTATGGCCCTCTAACTACGACATTGCTGGACTGTGATGTTTGACAAGGTTGTAGTACACGGTAGTGTAGACAACCAACCATTTGTACGTGGAGAGGTCACTGTATGTATTAACCTGGAGAAGGCGTGTCGTTCGGGGATTTTCGGGCAAGGTTAGTAGTAAGCTTAGTGCCCGCGCGAGGGACACCTTCTAGGCTTGCGAATCGTCAAGTTTAAGTAACGCTTTTACCACTTCGCAACACGAATAACAGAACGTTTGCCTATCGTCTATAGGGTATCGAATCTTCCCGCCTACTATAAAATGGCAAAGGGATTTGGGGTTTTGCGGCTCTCTCTCTCGGGCGTCACCTAGTTCTTTACGCCGTACGGGGTACGGTGCTTATACGCTTATGTTGTTTTGTTATGCAAACGAGTCCATTTATGCACGAGTTGCTCGATCGATCGAACGGTTTCTAATGTAAGTGTTTAATTGATGATTAATTAATTGATTAAAGTGATTGCATGTGGGGAGGGGTCCAATTCGGGGATTTCAGTGTGCTGATGGCGACATTCGCCCGAAGATGCCAGCAAACTGGTACATATAGTGAAGACGATTATTACAGACTTGTCGACTCGAGCAATAATCAGATGGCACACCAGTTTCATGTTTGTTCTTTCGGTGTCCGTAGTAAGAAATACAAACGAAATTAGAAACATNGCCTGGTTTCTCCATAGTAATCTGGCGTGCTTCTGCCAGAGCAGCCTATCGCTGCTCGATCAGAGTAATTAATCAACGAAAAGGAAAACTCCAATATCTCCTGCGAGATATTGGAGTTTTCCTTTTCGTTGATTAATTACTCTGATCGAGCAGCGATAGGCTGCTCTGGCAGAAGCACGCCAGATTACTATGGAGAAACCAGGCTTGGTTAAATTCTTACCGGGCAGGATTTTGGATTTCCTCATGGTGTGTTATCCCCTGCCTGCTAGCCCCGGGCATGCTAGCTCCCTGCCTTCCAATTCCCTTTATGACACCACACGCATCGGTGTGGTCCGTTTGGAGTCAACCCTGGCTTCTTCCCCAGTGCCTGCTCCTGTCCAGGAGTCGTTCTCTGGAACTCNCCCCCCCCCAAAGCAGTAAACCTAGGGGAAACACTGAAGCGCTTTACAACATTGAAAGAGATTAATAAAATGGCATTTAAAAACAATCATTAAAAAGCAAAGATAATAAAATAAACATTACAAATAAATTCATGAATAAAAGTTAGTGCAGTGTAAGCTTTAGCTAAAAAAAACAGCATATTCAGTTGCTACGTATAGGAAAAACATACCATTGTTTTAACATAGCTCAGGTTGGCTTCATAAGTTGCATTGCTTCCTGTTTGCAAACACTATATATTCACTTTTTAATTTACAAAAGAAAAGCCTAGGAGGAAGACTAACATGCTGCAAATATAAAGCCACTAAAGAGTAGCATACACATACACATCTTATAGTACTCTGATAGCAATCCAGGACCAGCTTCCACTTGGGGGGTAAACACAACATAAGTAATGGAAATGCTAAGAGGGGAGGATGGGGAATTGTACCCGGGAAAATAAAATTGGCCCTAAAACCGATAATCCATTACTTAC